CTTTGTGGAGGTCTGTTTTGGCTTTTATGTGACAGGTTTGGTTTCTGTTTACCAGTGTCATAAAAGCCTACTTTGATTAGTATTTTTTTTATTGCAACATGAGTAACAACACATTTACAGGACAAAGGACATAACACAGAATATTAGACAACAGACATTAACAAAGGAGACAGAGGGATTATTAAATTGTGTGTGTGAAAGTGTGTAGTGTGGGTGTATCCCACTCTATGCAGACTGATATTCAGTACAGTAAAATTAAAATTAAAAAACAAAATTCAGATATTTCAGTATCTTTACCTTCCGGGCTCCGTCAGACAGAAAGCTGCTATGTGTTCTCCAGAGGCCAGTTTGGGCAGATACTTCTGCTTCTGGGCTTCACTTCCCGCTATCAGAATCCCCTGAAACACCAAGCAGCTGTTAGTAACTGGTACTGTAATCAAAGACTAAAACGTTTCCACAGGGTAACAGCTCCCTCCAGATCAAAGACTAAAATGTTTCCACAGGGTAACAGCTCCCTCCAGTTTGTCCACATAACAGACATAATGAGCTGAATGTTTCATGAACAGCTCTGTTATATTATTTTACTTTCACCTTCAGTGCAAGAGCTTGATGTGTTGCCAGTGTTACTGCGATAGAGCCATCTAATGAGATGATCTCTGCCAGTCGCGCATACATGGTGTTGGACAATCCGAGACCGCCTGGGATGGAAAATAAACACATAGAGACACAGCCTTCAATTTGTTTTATATATCACAGCAGGACTAAAACTACACTTCCAGTGATCTTACCATACTCCTCAGGAATCATGATTCCAAACAGCCCAAGCTCCTTCAGCCCATTCAAAGTCTCTGGAGGGATTTTGGCTTCTCTGTCAATCTTTGCTGAGTCAACTGAAATCATTGGGGGGAAAAACTTAAATTGTCAATTCATCCAATTTCTCAGAAGCAACAAATAGTAAGATTATAATTTATGTACAACAGTGCACACTGCAGGCTACTAATAGCATTTGTAGTTTTACTTTAACACTTATGTCCACCAGATCTCCTCTCTCACCTTCTTCACTGAAGAATTTTTCCACCGGTGCAACAAGCTGCTTGAGCTCCTGCAGTTCTTCATTTCCAATCTCTGGATAAGGGAAGACCTCTGCCTTGAGCAGAAATAGACGATTTTAGAAAATACATAGTCAGCTTCAGCTGCAGGTAAGGTCTTCGTTTTACACTTGGGGGCAATTAAGGACATGTTTGGAGTTTAATGATTGTTTTGGATTTAAAGATATCTTCTTGTGTTAATATGAACTACAGTGGGGCAAATAAGTATTTGATACACCACCGATTTTTCACGTTTTCCCACTTACAAAAAATAGACAGATCTGTAATTTTCATCGTAAGTACACCTCAACTGTGAGAGACAGAATCTACAAAAAAAAAATCCAGAAAATCACATTGTTAGATTTTTAAATAATTTATTTCAATTTTATTTCATGAAATAAGTATTTGATACAATAGAAAAATAGAACTTAATATTTGGTACCGAAACCTTTGTTTACAATTATAGAGGTCAGATGTTTCCTGTAGCTCTTGACCAGGTTTGCACACACTGCAGCAGGGATTTTGGCCCACTCCTCCATACAGGTCTTCTCCAGATCTTTCAGGTTTTGGTGCTGTCGCTGGGCAACATGGAGTTTCAGCTCCCTCCATATATTTTCTGTTGGGTTCAAGTCTGGAGACTGGTTAGGCCACTCCAGGACCTTGAAATGCTTCTTACGGAGCCACTCCTTAGTCGCCCTGGTTGTGTGTTTGGGGTCATTGTCATGCTGGAAGACCCAGCCACGACCCATCTTCAATGCTCTTACTGAGGGAAGGAGGTTGTTGCCCAAAATCTCACGATACATGGCCCCATCCATCCTCTCCTCAATACAGGGCAGTCGTCCTGTCCCCTTAGAAGAAAAGCACCCCCAAAGCATGACGTTTCCACCTTGATGCTTCACGGTTGGGATTGTACTCAGTCAGTAATAATGAGCAGATTTCAGGTTTGAACATTGATTTCTCAGACTGATGGTGGCTATGTGTCACTCTCCATCTCATACTTCTTGTGAATTGATGTGTGGGGGAAAAACAAAGGTTTGTTGTTTGCCACTGACAGGAGAGGCTCTGACACAAAGCAGCCTCCTGGAGGCTGACGGGGAAAACGGAGATAGTATGGTCACCATGACAACAACTGTGGAATCCATGAATCTTCATCATGCTATGCTGAGATCACCAGGTAGGTGTTTGCACATGTATAACACAAAATATACACAAAAGCAAAGAATTCTACAGTACAGCAGCTTTGGAGTAATCATGGATCTTTCATGAATCTCGCTCAGTCTGAGCGAGATTGACAGTCGTCTTGCATTTCTTCCATTGTCTAATAATTGCGCCAACAGTTGTTGCCTTCTCACCAAGCTGTTTGCTTATTGTCCTGTAGCCCATCCCAGCCTTGTCTTTAGACAGCTCTTTGGTCTTGCCCATAGTGGAGAAGTTGGAGTCTGATAGATTGAGCGTGTGGACAGGTGTCTTTTATACAGGTAACAAATTCACACAGGTGCAATGAATACAGGAAATGAGTGGAGGATAGGA